TGTGTATGTATATGTATATAGGAAAGGAAATAAAAAAAATAAATAAAGAAGCTAAAATAAATGTGTACTATTGATTATCTTTTTTTTTATTGTTATGTTTACAAAGACAATACTTAACAATGTTACGTATACATATCAAATTAAAATACTGATTAATAAAAGATGAAAGTAAATTTTTGATCAGTGTATATGGAAGAGCAGATTATAATGAGGCGTCTGATTTTTGTAGGAATGATTTCGAGGTACCATTTATTAATTATATTATTTTTGTAGATAATTATTTAGGTACTTGTAAGAAATACATTTTACCAATTAAATTGAATATTTAATAAGTAATATAATTATAGATATACAGATATAACAGAACTTAAAATATCGCTTAATATGAACTACTAATTTGAAGTTTATATTTCTCGACATTAGATCTGCTCTGACTGTGCAATAATGTTACCTGTTGCCATGTGTAAATGTAAATATTGCGGCAGGTTACTTCTTCAGGTTGAAGTTGGATACTGATGGATAAAATTTAAATGCAATTCTTTTTTTGCTCAACCTACGCTGAAACATAGTATACATTCTATGACATGTGTTATTCCAAATATCTACTAAGATTAAAATCGTAGTCTTCTGTTAAAAAATAAATTCATTAGAATAAAAAAACAAGACTGATACTGTGCGGGTTACGTTTGAGACACGTCCTTTGTTTTAATAAAGTCAAATTGACAATTTGCTTTCAGAATTAAGTATGTTACCTGCGATGCCTGCAATTGCTTCTGAAGCAAAGTATTTCACATCGACGTCGCTATCAGTATTGAGCTTATCAAGTACAGGTTTTACTTGAGCTTGCACGGCACAAGGTTCAAGATAAGGTCCAATTTTTTGAAGAGTTTTCGCAACATTAAACCGTACATTGGCAACATTATCGGTGGCCATTCCTAAGACAGTTGGAAGCATCACCTTTGTCGTTATTTCCGGGCCACACACCTCAGCCAATACCTGTAATAAATTGAAGGAAAATTAAAAGAACAGAATTATCAAAATTGAAAGAATATATCGTTTCTAATAATATCGCTTACATTAATACAAAATAAACACGTCATCCTGTGAAGGTAATTTTGATCTCTCGACATTGCTAGAACTTTAGGTATTACTGTATTCTGTGCCCATTCCGGACCGAACTTTTCTACCAACTTTTTCAAATTTAATGTGGCCGCTTCTCGGATAGCGTATACATGATCTACTAACCAAGTCATGCACAAAGAATTTAATTTTTCATCGAAAAAGTCAACTCCCAGCTGTCCAGCTAATAATGGCATATACCTAGGTAACATATATATTTAATATTCACTGTAACTAATTTGCAAATATAACATATCATGAAAAATACGTACTCTATAATGGCTAATCTTACTCGCCATTTCGAATCCTCAGCTAATTCTACTATAGCTGGTAAAAGAGACTGTGAAAGCTGTTGTATGCCGATAACTTCATTAACGCATTCTAAATTACTGATAATGTTTAAACGGACTTCTGAACATTCATCTCTGAGTTGTGACAAAAATAGGGGTAGAAGATGTTCGATTGTGCTGTAAATTTAGAAATATTTTTGTTTTCTTAATACAGTTAAAAAATTATTATTATGCTTTTATATTTATACAGGTATTTTTTACTTACTTGTGCTTTCCAAGAATTGGACTAAGACCCATTATAACGCTTGCTAAAGCTGATTTTACATGTTGATTTGCATCCGATACAAGTTCTTTGACTATGGGTAATATGTTTGTCATAATGATAGATTCTTGATTGACCTTATCCAGATTTTGACAGAAGTCGCGAACTTTATCTGCTGCTGCAGCTCTTACTTCAGCTTCTATATCTTTTAACAGTACTTGAAATGCTGGTACGAGATCTGTGTTTGTAATTTCTGGACCAACAGCTTTTTGTAGCTGAAATAAATGAGAATTATGCATGGCTATTCGGTATGTACATAAATTTTAGTGTCACATGCAAAAAGGAAATACTGAAAGGTATTTACATCAGTAAATTTATCTGCTACCATATAACGTACACGCCATGACTGATCAATTGCACATTGTCGAAGTGTGGGCATAACTAATTGTTCTACATCTTCTTGTGGTAACAAAGCTGCAATGCTAACACAAGCTTCAACAGCTAAGAGACGTACAGAATCCTATGGAATTCAAATATAAAATAAAATATGTTATGAGTGTTATATTAATAAAAGTAACAATTATGCTATCTTACTTGTTCATCTTGCGCTAGGATGACAAACATTGGAATTAAATCTGCTTTCACATATTCAATTTCCATTACTTTCGCGAATTCTCCTAAATTTGAAGCAGCAGAACGCCGTGCCATTGGTGTGTCATCTTGGCACAGGTTACGAAAGTTGTTCCGTAAACACGCTGTGTACAGGTAAAAATATAAATGTACAATTCAATTCTTTACATTTCAATATTAAAAAATTTTAATTATATTTTACCTTTAACCGATGAATTAACGCGTGAATAACAGACACTAAATAGGCCACATGCTGATGTTCTTGATGTAAACCAATCACCTGCTGCTAAGCGATATATCAAAGGAACAAACTGTTCTTCTAAATCTGTTGGACTGTGTTGAGCAGCGATCGCTCTTAAAGATTCCACCGCTTTGTCTCGAACTACTGTTTCCTCAACTGTTGCTAAAGTCTCTAGTGGTTTCTAAATTAAAGTAAGTTTTACATGAAGTAATACAAATTAACTATTAACATCAAATTTTTATCAACTTGTACTATTTTGTACATTTACAAAAATATTATCAGAGTTAATCTATATAAGTAATATGGAGGAAATACTTTATGTATGATTCATCTACTGTCAAAGGAAGTGGTTTATGTTACATTATAATATAATAAAGAAATGATTATTATGGTACACATAAAATAATCATGTAGTTACAAAAAATATTATTTTCTTTGAGATTTGTAAAAATATTATGATCAATCAGAAATATAACTCAATAATTAATACGAAGAGTACCATAGAATTTTCGAAACCTTATCATGAAGAATACATCCACATTTAAGCTAATAAAATGATAAACAATGATATCATTACCAATAAGCAGTGTACATATTCTGGACCTCCTACAAGAGGAGTAAACTGTCCCAATTGTTCTGCCAATGCTAACAGAACTTCATCTTCATCATACATAGACTCCGTTAAAAACGGTATTAATTCAGTACGTGTTCGTTCGATGCCCAATGCAAGAGCAATCGTGGATAATTTCTTTATCGAGTTCAGCCGTAACTGTAACACAAAACAGTCTATGAAAGTACAAGCATAGAATTAATTGAATTAGCATCTTCAATGCTTTCTTCCTTCCAAGTAGCAGAATATATTTTTCTGGCCACAGGTCTCACATGCTTGGAGCTTACAATGAAATCATTTTTATACGAGTAGTTGGACGATAACATTTGATATATTAATATCAAATACAAAATATTGATAGTAAACTGACAGGAGACTAAAAGAATATTTTGCTCAGTAGTACGCTACCGCTCCAGCCGCCTTGACACTGTGTTTTTTCCGGTGGCTGTATACGCTACAACAAGCCGATTGTATTGCAAACGCGAACTACTTAGTTTGAAAACATTCCGAATTACCTGTACATCTTCGTTTTTTAGTTCGTCGATCAAAACAGCGATCGGATAAAGGCTGTCGTCTGTGATAGAGTCGCTCGCTGCCATTTTGCTGCCGATCACACCAGAGCTTGGAAACTCCTGTACATTCAAGTAATGTTCAAACTACCGTGCCATCTGGTGGTTACGCTTAATATTCGTGGAGTCACCCCACCATTACTCGGGACGGTTTCTTCAGAGTGACGAGAGGGTCCGTGGAAAACGTGCAATTCTACGCGTACAACAACACAAGAATTAATAGTAACAATACAACATACTAATAATAAAATAAAATAACAAAATATTACTCATACAATGAACTATGCTAAATATTCTCGGAATAATTTCTCTTCCCAAATAATGTTCATGCTTGGGAGCCGATTTTATGAACATCGGACAAGTATCACAGTACTACTTTTGCAGTGAATTAACGATACGCACAAAATCTATTGGCGCATACCCATATTTTCTTACGATTTACGACTATTTACTTTATTTACTGACATAGCATTTATTCATTTCATTGTATGTAAGTATTTCGTTTGTTTTCGTTAACATAATTTTCATTAGGCGAATCAATCATCATGGAAAACCTATTTTCATCGATAAATTTCACAGTAAAATTACAGTATTACTATAACAACGCGAATGGGGGATTTCTGTTATAGTCAGTCTTGAATTTCTAGATCGGTAAAGTAGTTTGATTTGGGCTACGAAAGCCGGTAAGTTGTTTGGTCTATTTTCATATCTCGTCCGTGTTACGAGCTCCCTTCAAATTCGCATCTCAAATGAGATATACGAGATGTCCGTGAAAATATATGACACGTTTTTTTCAGGATACATTCTTCACGTGGAAATAATAAAAATGTTCATAAAACGTGTGACCTTTAACACTTTGTCTTTTATTGAGTCATATGTAAGTAAGTGCATACCTATGTACCTATACAATTCGCGATTCTAAAGACGTATAACCGAAGCCCCTGAATGAGAGCAACCCGGCTGCATCGTTGTCGGTTAAGTGGCCTACTACTTTGGTACCATTTTTTCAATCCCTTTGAAAATTCCAGACAAATCCCGATTAGAATTATTCTATTTAGTATCGAACTATGAAAATAATATTTATTTCTCACTATGACCAAATTTGAAATTTACGTTCCGGCTTGCATTAATAAATTTAAATGACGTTCTCAGTAACGTAGCAAGTAATTTTTATTTCAATAACATCCAGATTGGATTATTAAGTCAATCTCGTAGGCCAAAGTAGAATTTACAAATATTATATAAATATTTACAATATTACTAATATTGTAAAATTACAGTGTAGTATAATGCAATATTGCTAATCGACAACCAGCTCATATTTTCCGCTTCGTTAAACTTAGAAATAATTATTGTTTACGCATTCGGAAGCAGTTAAGCAATGAACAGGTGAATATGAAATGAATAACCATGATATGAGTCAAGGTAACTCTGTAATTTACTGATAAGCCCGGATGGGACAAGACAGAAAACGAAAAATGAGGGAGAATATAATAAGGATAATGTATTGATAAGCATGCATTAGCATAAAATAGTGAAACATAGAATGATATGATAAAACAATGTAACAAACGTGTATATAAAGCCGATGCCTGAGCCAACATGCGACGTTTGACAATTCCCTGAATCTCCAGAGGTAATTTTCGTATTTATGTAAATAGATTGCGACGTTATACATTAAATTATATTTATTATCCAAACACTTGCAAATTATATTTCCTCGCCGTGAAGTGGGAAAACCGTTAAAAATAATGCGTCACTGTTTGATCCCGTTTAAGACTAAAGTAGCTTATCGTGGACTAGATACAAGAAAAATCGTGATCGGTGTTTATAAAGAATAAGATGATCTTATCGTTGTACCTAGATAACTCCGATCGTTTCCAAGTTTTCAACTGGATTTTGCGTTTCTTCCGCGAAGACCGCGTACGGTCTTGGTACAATCGATATGTCTCGTTTGAGCGCAGAGGACGTGAAACTGTTCAAAGACACACAGAATGACTCGGACATAATAAGGACCATCATCGAGACGGAGAACAAGGAGGATCCGTTCTATATTCTGGACATCGCCGATGTGGTTCGGAAACATCAGAGTTGGGTCGAGAAAATGCCACGGGTCATCCCGTATTACGGTACGCATTAGAACTAATCAAGTTTTCATTTGTTATAATGAACAAAACACCAAGATCCAATTCCGAAGGTAAAAACCTACAAATTATTATTCCGAAAATTTCGTTATCCAATCGGTTCGGTAAATTGACGAGCACTTGATTACTTTATTATGAATTTTATTATGAAATTTAATTGAATTATAAGTCACAATTAATCATCGATTCGCAGCCATCAAATGCAACCCGAATCCTGTGGTCATCAAGACGCTGGCGTCTTTGAACACCGGCTTCGACTGCGCGTCCCAGGTAAGTTACCAGATTACCAATTTACAAAGTTACTGAATCCTTTAATATCCGCAGGTTTCATTGTTAGAAGCGTAAACTGAATTCCGATTCGATTGTTCGAAACAGGACGAAATAAGGGAAGTGATGGCGCAAGGCATACCCGCGAGTCGGATTATCTTCGCGAACCCGACGAAGCTGCCGTCGCACATCAAGTTCTCCCGGAAAGTGAACGTCGACAGATTAACCGTCGACGGCGAGAATGAACTGTACAAAACGAAGGAGCTGTTTCCAGAGGCAAAGTGAGTAACCGCGTTTCATGGAAGCCTACTTCATGTTCACCCTTTGCACTCGGATGTTTCTAGAAGTATTTAACATTTTTTCACCAGACGAAGACGATATTCTTCGAAACTGACTCGAGGGGAAATCACAAGTGCATTGAAGAACGAATCTATTTTATTCCAATATTAACAACAACATTAAATATCAGATTTTATAGTTTTCGTGTGTCAAATCTAGTGACTGAGAGTCACCTTCCGAGTGCAAAGGGTTAGCCCCTTGCCATACCATTTAACCGAGTAATAATTATGGCGACCGAATCTCACTCGCGATATTATGTATCGTCTAAAATTTGTGTCACGAGGCAAACTCGTTACGAGTTAAACATTTGAATTTGCATACACATGCGTTATACAATTATAACTGTCCATGCCGAGAAAGCGTGCAATTAAAATAGTTCAACTACGGTTCTCTTTCGCGGACGTTCGTCAGGATAGTGATCCGGATCCGATGCGACGCGGATAATTCGCTGGTGTGCCTGGGAACGAAGTTCGGCTGCGACCCGGACGAAGAAGCTGTCCGATTGATAAGGCTGACGAAGAGTCTCGACTTGGAGTTGCACGGGTTCAGCTTTCACGTGGGGAGCCCGTGCGGAGAAGCGGAAGCTTATGCTAGAGGAATCGCGCATTGCACGAGATTGATCGCTGTCGCCAGAACGATGGGCTGCGACGACGTGCGATTGATCGATATCGGAGGAGGATTCCCCGGGGAGTCCGCGTCCCGGATCGACAATGTAAGATAGCTTATTTTCGTCGATCTCCCTTCAACTCATTGTTCTGCAGCGAGCGATCGCTTTCGAGCAACAGAGAAACAAAGTTCTTCGGTCTCACGGAGAAGGATAAGAGAGCTTTACGCGGTTGCTGTTCTAAAATCGCGGAGTCGTGTTGCGTTGGAGCTGCGGTACTCGATGGAATCGGTGATCAGAGGGAAATATTTTCTTTTATACGGGGTCCTATGCGAGTCACTTCAACGTAGACGTTTTTATCTAAAATGAGAGTAGGTACTTACACTTCTTCTGTATCTCATGCACTTTAGAACTAATCACTTCTGTATCTCATCGGTTCCAGTGTCAGTTAAAAACTCATTGGGGAAATGGTTAATTTCGAAATTTATTTATCAAGAATTTCTTAATCCTTCAAATCGACCGATTTTTCTGGAGCATTGGCGCCGACAGCGTCATAGTTGAATTGATTAACAACAAGATTGGCATACTTTACACAATCGGTAGTTGACCGTATCTTAAACGCACATAATCCTCTTATCGGTCTGCAAACACATTTTGCTTCGTTCGTATCGCTTCCTTTCTTTTACCATTCAGTGACGATTTCGAAGTCATTTAGGTAATCCTTAATTTAGAAATTCTATTTGCAATAATTCTACGCTTATACGTGGCTTTCTGTTCATCTGGAAATTCGTTTTTCCGTTTAGTTCGCCTGCGTGGTCAACGACGCTATTAAGGACATCGACCCCGGCATCACGATCATCAGCGAGCCGGGACAATATTTCGTGTCGTCGGCGTTTTCGTTGGTATCGTATCTGCACACGAAGAAGTTGACCTCGTATAAGGGCAAGCCGGTGAGAATGTACTACGTGGATTGCGGCGTGTACACCTCTTTCATAGAAGAGCTGCTGAATTTGAAAGCGAGGGTTCCGACTCCGTTGGACAAGGTAGCCATATTGCTTCCCGCATGTATGCCACATATTGTTCTAGCTAGATTTAAATATATACATTTTATATTCTTTAAATATCTATTCTATATTCTCCAAATATTTAGTTGATATTTCCTGAACCTATTCACTTTGAATTTCTTTTACATACGTCCAATATTTAGATCTAATATTTCATTCATCTTAAAAAGTGTGGCAGAACAAATATTTTTCAAATATTTGAAAAAGATCTTAAACCAATATGTTTGTGCTACTAGGTAGTATTCTAGCAAATGATACTTTTGAATAGGTAGTAAGATAAATTAATTCTAATTATATCGATCATAAATGAATTTGGAAGATGTTGTTACTGTTGCCGTAGCCACCGAGCGACGAGAAATTTTCCTCTTCCGTTTGGGGGCCGACGTGCGACTCGTTGGATTGCATTTTGAAGAGTGCGATGCTGCCCGAACTAGAAGTCGGTAATTGGTTGATTTGGAGGGACATGGGAGCATACAGCATCGCCGTTAGCTCCGGCTTTAATGGCTTTAATCTTCCCACTGTATACCCGTTTGCAAGGAAAAGCGAATGGTCAGTAGAATTTTGGGAAAATGTACAACGGTTTGCAATTGCCTAGACATAATTGACAACGATTAATTGTCCATTGAATTGCAGGGACGCCATTGCAGCTTATATGAATTCGATACAGAATTCACAGGAGTTCATCGACTAGCACCGATGCAAAGTCTACTTCTGATACAGCTGACATTTCGAGGCTTAATTGCGAAGGTTTAGTTCTAATTAGATTGGCTTACTTATAGGCTCTAATGTAATCGTTTCATCGAATAATCTAATTACACTGGTAGATCTTCAATGTTTCTTTCACGCGTAGACAGAGCAGGATGATTATAATGACTTTTTGAATGTTTGATCTCCTTTTATGAAACTAATTGTATCAAAAGCTTTTATATCTATCCACTTACCCGTGCGTTGTGTCAAACTTTGCAAGAATCGCTGTCATTCATTCTGTTATTATAATCAAGAATCTACGACTTTATTTACTTTGAAGTTCGCTACTTAATCCGAGGGCAGATATTGTAAATAAATATATCGATAAGAATCTTACTTGACTGTTTCCATTAAAGAACACGTAACGCAAACAACGTTATAAATTACGTAGACGTACATCGAGGACTAATCTTACAATCTTAAAGTATCAAACAATTCGTCGCTTTATTAATCACGGTAGGATCTCATTTACGTGTAATGTACATACGAGCTAGGGTAACAAACATTAGTGAAACGTTACGCGATGTTATCTCGTTTAACGTTACATTCAAAACGCAGTCGAATTGTTACGAGTTATTACTTGAGCTATCGTTAAGTCCTTTCCATCTGTATGGAAAAAAAAATATATAAAGAAATAAATAGAAACGGGAGAATCAGAGAGTATTCGTTCGTTTAAACGTTACTCACTCTATCGCAGTGTTACACGAGCCTGGTTTCAAGCCCGCCTCTGATTGCGCGTCGCGTAACTCCGATCCACTTATCACATCTTCTCGCGGTCGTTCCGGCGACATCGACTCTCGCACCTGTAACACGTCACGCTTGTTTACATCTCTAAAATTTCTTATAAATATTAACCCTTCGCACTCGAGAATATTTTTCTCAATAAATATTCATTATCTTTTGATGAAATGTCAATGATATTTTCTGCAATTAACATAAATACCTTGCACAAAGTGACAGAACTATTTTATTTCGATGTCCACGTGCTCGTACATTATATAGAATTTAATACTGAATTTTCAATTTTACAATTTTCTCGAGTGCAAAGGGTTAAACGAATATTCGACACGTTATCTGCCATGAAATTTGAAAACTAGTCGTTGACGTTTGAATACTCGATAGCAACAGAAGCAAAGGTCAAAGTTCCTGATAACGTTAAGAGAACATAAACCTTCTAATCAAATCGTCTAAAAAATTGCATTAACGTAAATACGTATAATTAATAGCTCACAGTAATAAGTGCAATTAGTAAGCCTTTCTATTTACCGCTTCTACCGCCTTAAACACGCGTATCAAGTTCCTTCCAGCGAGTTTCTCCAGATCCTCCCTGGTCCATTGAGGATTAGCTTCGCTCTCGTAGAGGCTATCGAATAGATCTTTATAATTAGACACATCTTCCAAGCCTTCGGGCACTCTGAAATTTTAAGATACAACGTGTACGATTTCTTTCTCGAGTTTACTCGCGATTCTATCCTAGAACTGGCGCAATACTCACGAACTTACGCCATCATAGTCAGCGCCGATACCAACGTGGTCTGGCCCGATGAGATTGCGAATGTGATTAATGTGGTCTGCGAAGAGAAACTTTCGTTGAACACACATTTTTCTCGATATATTCAATTCACTGTTGGTACATTAATTAATTGGGATTAATTAATTAAAGTGGGATTCGCAGAATTTACTCTTCCTCTTAAGTGGAACAATCGAGTCCCTTAGAAGACAATGTTCATTGCGGAAAATTGCTGTTCAATGCATAGGTTTTCAAAACTGGTTCAATAATTTAATCAGAAAAGTATATAAAGTCTTTTTTCAGAAAGCAGGCTCTACGACAATGGAAGATTATATATTCCAGCAAATCTACGAAGATCAGAAATCATGAAAAAATCGACTTACCAATGACATCTTGCATCGTTGCGGGTCTCGACTTATTGCAGTTGACGAAGCCCGAGTAGAAGTTCACCATCACGACCCCGTTGTTCTTTTTCTGGAAATATGTTCGATATTATTTCTGAAACGAAGCGTGCAGGTTGAAAAAGTCGCGAGGGACGAGTAACGCGAATGCAACTTACAACTGAGAGAAGCACGTCGTCGGGGACGTTGCGATAATTGTTGCAGACGCTGAAGGCTGACGAATGAGAAAATATAACGGGCGCCTTCGTGATTGCAAGTACTCTTCTCATAACGTTGTGCGACACGTGCGATAAATCCACCAGCATTCCCAGTCGATTCATCTCGTAGACGACCGCCTGCAAAAATTAGGATATAGAAATTTTTATTCGAAGTCAACTATGCGTTAGCCTCTTTCGAATGTTATTTCAGTTGAATATCGAACGCCAGAGTGCGATTCGAATTGAAACGATATACATACACACACGAAACGCGTGAACGACTACTTAGAAATGTTTAATTATTGTGTTAACTTATGTGACATTCTCGATATATGTAAACTCACCTCCCCGAAAGCTGTGAGATTGCGGACGGAGCCATCGTTCACCGGCGACGCGTCGGCCCTGGAAACCGAGTAACGATAGATTGCTGTTAAATGGTGTAATGTATGGGTGTAGCGTGCGTGTATGCGTTGTTTTGGATAAACGCGAAAAGAAAGAAAGAGATATTGAAAAAAAAAATACGAAGTTTGTGTCGACAAGGAAAAATATATAGAAATTGACATCGTTTAAATAAACGTCTATATAATGGTACTTTTTATCGAGGGCCGTTGAACGTACCACGGTGTGTTGCACGAGTGGGTCAACGTGAGGTAACGAACACCGAGCTCGTAGTAGAGCCTGAGGACAGCTAGACTGGAGTCGATGGAGTGGCCGCCCTCGACGCCGATCATGGAGGCGATTTTCCCGTTTCTCCATGACGCCTCGATGTCGTTCGCCTCGGTGACGAATTGCAGGTCGTTCGGGTACTTGTCGATCAGGTTCTTAATCACGTCGATCTGTCGCAGCGTCAATTGCACCGCGTCTTTGTACTGTGACTCGCACGAGACGTACGCGGCCCAGAACTAAAATTAACAATGGTTACAGACACCGCTCGAACGATGCGGGACACTTCTGTCGCATCGTAAAAGTAACGAAAATATCATTTATAAATTGATATGTGGAAACGCTACTTCGACTGACGACGATTTCGCAACGATGGTTGATGAAGGATCGTGTCGAATGAAAATTTGGTGACGTGAGTTACTAACGTTACTCGCACTAATTGTGAGATACTGTTAATAAGTTAATAAGTTAATAAGTTATCAAGATACTAAGCTGTCAGGTCACCAAGTTACCAAGTTATCAAGTCACCAAATTACCAAACTATCAAGGTACTAAGCTACCAAGCTATCAAGTCGCCAAGCTACAAGCCATCGAGTCATCAGGTTGGAAGGTACGTTATCAATTTACAAAGTTACTAAATTCTTTAATATCCACAGGCTTCTCACTCACTTGTCCGCCCACTTTTCCTTTCCTCAGCCGAGGGAGATCCGTGAAACACGAGCTACACGCGTTTCTCCCCCACACGGTATCATTGGCGAGATCCTTTTCGAACTGGAATCCTGACACCTTGTTGTTCAACTTTGCATACAAGTTGTACGGCAAATCATTGTGCCTGGAACAGCGTAAGACAAACGATTCTTGATAAATCCTTACCGAACACAGTGGAAATGAGTCATTCGAGAAGTTTAAAATTGAAATAGAAATGCAAGGCAGTTAATCGAGACTCGATTATGCAAGGCCGACAACTGTCACCGATAGTAAGCGACAGTTCAAAGTTAACATTGAATACTTTCATTACTTTTATTCGCCAATATCCGTTTATCGCGTTCGTAATAACATTTATATATTTACAAACAGCCGCACGATCTCGCGACTCATCCGGCGAGCAGAAATCAATTTATCTGTAATCGCTGATACAGCGATTAAAAATCATCGGATTATTTCTGGCTTCGGTCGCGAGTTCATCGTCGTTACAGCGATTAATCGCGTATCACGATAGAACCGGTTCGAGTGTGCGGAGCAACACAAAAAGATACAATTCAATTACCGCAGTTTATCATGCTAATGCGGTGATCAGAGTCATTCGCCGACTGATAAGAACAGCTATAATACGATAACAATGAAATGAAACAGACGCGAGACGATACTGAGATTACCGCGCGAAAAGTATCAACGTTTAATCGGCTAGAATTCTTCTAATCGGCAGGAAAGATTTCTTTGATTAATCCCCTAGGATTATACACCTGTTCAATGATTACGATCATTACTTTTAAATCTATTCTTATTACCGTCTAACGTAAGACAGCCCTTCGTTGTATCCTATTGACCATACAACATTGTAAAGCAGTTTAAAGTCTCAATTCAGCACGAAGCATTATCCAATTGACAATTTTATCGCAGGCATACTATTAAGCTCCTCGCGGGCTAACTGTTGCCTGCCGCGTCCGTATCGGTGAAACGTGTTTGCGAATAACAAAAGAAAACGCAGAATTTGAAATTCGGTCGTTTAACCGGTGTTAACGGACAAAACTTTGACGAGGATCTGTTGGTCCAGTCCCAACTTAACACCCTTATTGCTCCATTTCCATCCCTGCCATAAACCCTTACGAAGCCGCATAATCGTATATTACGTAAATTTAACCCTTTGAACTCTGTAGACTCCAATATTGCACCAGTTATAATATCAAATATTTTAATGAATCAAACTACCCTAAAATTATTCGATTTTCCACGCATCCAAATTTTCTACTGAGAAGGAAACTAAAAGATCGAAGGAATGTAGCATTTGTAATTTTCACTAGGGATACCATAAAAATTAGTTGCAGTTGCAGATAAATTACAACACCATCCGGAGTGCTAAGGGTTAATTCTCGTATGTTTCCTCGTTAGTTCCTTTCAAAGTGTCGAGTGTTTCTAATGAAAAGTTTCCGAGTGCAAAGGGTTAATTCAGTCGACTCCAGTGTTTCGATGGTTTTAATGGATTTTCTTCGAAATTTCTAGGGTGAATCGCTCGCTTCGGGCGCCGTCGATCGGAATTCTTATCGATTCAGTGGCGATGCTGATGCTGAGGCTTACCCGTCGATAAGTGGCGCGGAGTCGAGTGCGTCGCTCCCTTTGAACACCCTCATGCTGAGCCCTACCGACAGCCCGATCACGAAGATCAACAATGACATGCAGAAAGCGACGTTCACGTACACCATCTTCCCGGTGCAGAACTTCGCGGCGATGCCTGAAAAAGATTTCGCGACGGTTCGTCACGACAACTGATCGGACACGCTTCGACGGACAGTGGTTTTATACGAAGCGTGGGAAACGATAAGGACGTATCAATTTTTTATCTATCGGAATCCTACTGATGCGGCCAATCACGGGAACCGCCGCCTCCTGCTCCTTAACACTGGGACTACCGGATGACTCAAAATCGGCCAGTCTTAAAGTCTTCTTGCACGATTTTTCAAACAATAGATCCTTATCTAAGAAATCTCGAAAGAAAATTAAGTTTGCAGTGATCGGCGTCTCGATGCACTCTTGGGGTTTCAATAGAAAATTTTGAAAAGTTAACTCGACTGCTTGGTAGTTCCAGTGTTAAGTGTTGTATAGAATAATGGATTTATTTATTGTATTCCGAATATTGTATATTACGAGCAATAAGTAGCAATAACATTGTCATAGGCTGCACGGTACACAGATATTTGTGCATTCATATACTATGAGTGTTTACCATCGATGGCTATCGTGATGATTATCGTTGATGAGAAGATCGTAAGATGGAATAATTGTGATGAGTAATCGTTCTAAGCGAATTATCCTAGTTTCATAGTTTAATATCGGATGATTTCTGGCGATAACGGTTCACGGTGTCGCGCAGCGTCAGATAAGAATTTCCGCCGCCATGATAGATCATGGAGATCGCGGAAGGAAGGGATATTCCTTCGGACACGTGGCTATTCGATGGAAACTTCTGTTACACCGCACACATGGCAACTTACTAAGCCACCAAACCACCTCGTTACACTCTCCCAATGAACTCCCGTAAGCAACTGACTCGCGAGCGACTCATGAGGACGCAAATACTCGCTCGCAGAGAGACCCCATACAAAATCAACTGGCGAAAACCGTTTGCGCGATGCTCCTGTCCAACGGTAAGTTTGCGAACGTTGCTTCACGGGTATGTTGGTTCTTTTGGATTTTGGAAAATGGACGTTTCAGAATAGACAATAGTGATATATATTTTTTTCATCAATTCGAATCGATGTAAATATTTACTGAACCGTGTTCATAGTATTCAATGGGTATCCACTCGACGCGATTCTTGAAGCTAAGGTACGTTTGTTCTCGTTATCAATTAATCGGGAGATCTCTGCGACTTCTGCGTAATTAGTTCGTTTCACTACTGTGCAAAGGGAAAATCGATTAATATTAAATGCGGAATGACTTTAGACTGCGGTGACATATCCCGAGCATTGCATAAAACGAGGCACTAAACGTACCATGCATCAAATGACAGATTTAAATGGCTTCAAAGTTTGATTGAAAATGTTGCATAGAAGATAGAAAGATCTAGTTCACGATTAAGGTATATTGAAAGCACGATGCTTATCGAAACGATCCACGAAGTATCGTAATCGGAGGTGACCCGAGAGCTTTAGCGAAAAATCGTCGCACAGGAGATGACCCCGCGGTGCATCGGGTTAAACGAGCGAAATATTCCGTGCGTTTCCGACGATATTGCCTATTCGTGATGCAATCTGTTTGGTTCGCGTCGGTTTCGAGCAAGGGGCAGTTACGGGACGCAACGGAGCGCAACGGAGCGGGACCTTGAAACAGATCGGAGCTTAACAACGAGATAACCGGGTAATTTTAACGCCTGCCCGTGATTATGATAACTAATTTCACGCGACATAATGTTGTTGCATTAACGTGTCGAACCGTTCCACTTTGACCGTGCACTGATCGATTCACCCATGCCGATCGCCAGCCAGCCGCAATTCTCGATGACACTGATCACACCCGTTCTCCGAAGATGACTCGGCCGGTTGCGTCTTTGAACGTGCACCTCGCGTACACGCTAAAGATCTTCTCTATATAGGTGTGCAGAACGGATTACCAGATAGTTTACTCTCCGCTCTCTGAATTACTCGGCCCGAGGAGAGAAGGAGAGAGATGCTCGTGCTTGCCCCCGCTGGTACCGTCGCACGATTCCTCGAGCCGATTCTTTTTTCTCGGCTTTCTCGCACGGGATAACGAGTGTATCGTGTATCACGCCTGTTTCGTTTCGTTTCTGAACGCGCGGTGGGATTGCCAAAGCAAACATTTCAATTTTATAGACAGCACAAGAAACGAGAGCGAACAAGGTGCGAGTGGATCGGGAGACTGGAAGACGAGCCTATTCCTTTATATTATTTTTTATTATTTTATGTTATTTTATGTTATTTTATGTTGCTTTATATTATTTGAAATGATTTTAAATTATTTTATATTATTTTATATCATTTTATATCATTTTATATCATTTTATATCACTTTATATCACTTTATATCACTTTATATCACTTTATATCACTTTATATCATTTTATATTATTTTATATATTATTTTATATATTATTTTAAATTATTTTATATTATTTTACATTATTTTATATCATTTTATATCATTTTATGTCATTTTATATCATTTTATATCATTTTATATTATTTTATATTATTTTATATTATTTTACATTATTTTATTGTTTATTATTTTCAACCGCAATCGATATTTTCGTGAACTCAAGGTTGTGGAATTTTCGGTGAACGTTTCTTGTATCTCGTTGAGGCTTTCGGTAATTTAATTAACACGTGGGTTACGGTAGACGGATTGTTTATCTGATTTATTTCATATTTATTATAAAGTATACTAATTAAGTGTCCATCTACGTATCTTTCTAAATATAATTTTGACATTCCAATTCAGATTTTCATCGATTAAAATCTCATCGATAAGAATATATTAATTACAAGTGATTTAATGTCAGGGATGTACAATAATTGTGACTCGCGATGTAATTATGTCCCTTCGCGAGGTTATAAATATTTATATAGAAATATTTTAATAAATATTTTATATTTCTGAAAAAAACGATTTCGATCATTTAACCCTCCGTTGAAATCAAATTAACTCTGTTGGTAACGAAGTACAGTGGGACAGAAAGAAATCTGTAGCGTGTGTCGGTAAGAATTACTCGTATGATATAATACCGACGAGAGACACGGCCGACTGAGCATCTTATGGGATTTCGTGTTCAATTGTTTAAACAAACTGAATATTCACATGAGAAAATAAAAAAACACATTATTTATTTTTTTGTATTTTTATAAACTCAATCGGTATGGCTGTAAGTGATATAGGATTGATAAGAACGAGAAACCCCCAGACTTCAGCGAGAGACCCCCTCGAACCCCCACGAGAGACCCCTCGAACCCCCTCGAGAAACTCCCAAATTTAAACGAGAGACCCCC